CTCTCTGTGCCGGGGGAACGCTTGGCAGCAGTGGAGATACAGGCTTCTGGAGCGGTTCTTCGTGTCGCGAACGGTGAGGCGGCTGGTGGGCGGTTGGCTGCTAACTGCGAAGTATCGGCCGCGGCGGGGCGGGGCAGGCAGGCAGGCAGGCAGGCAGGCAGGCAGGCAGGCAGGCAGGCATTCTCTTCGCAGAGCACCGTAGGGCACTGGAGATCGGGAGTGCTGATCTGTTCCCCGAGATGCCTCGGCCCTGATTTGGGGCAAGGCGGCATTTGCTGCGCGAGGAACGGTTGGCCGCCAGTCTGGAGGGTGGATTGACGTGCATGTGAAGCCAGCGGATAGGATGCCGGTCTGCGTGGGTCTCCGCTTGCCTGCAGGCTGGAACTGCTGTTCGGGGTGTGTTAGAGCCGCCCTCGCCAATCCGATGCTGTCTCGATTGTGGGGACTACAACTCCAATATGGGTAGGCATTCTGGGTGTGGTGGTCGGGATCCGCAAGACGGAATGATTGTATGTATGTGTGCCTGTGTGTGTGTGTAGAGAGAGAGAGAGAGAGAGAGAGAGAGATTGTGCCACAGGCTTCTGCACAGGGAGAAGTGCATTGAATAAATTGCACGGGAGAGGCTTATCAATACCTGGTCTTTCCTGCTTGGACTCAAGGTTAGTGCTGGCTATCCATCCTTGCTGTTCCTCTGTTCACGATGAGCTGCATCTGTTAACAACATATATGAAAGGACATGATGCATGGCAGTTGATTCAGATAAAATCAGAGTTGTGCAAGTTCAGATTTCCATCATAATGCATATAACCTCAATCTCATACTGCATTTCACAGTATGTGGTATTTCTAAGAGCAGTGCTATATTTTATAAACACACACATGCTTATATATAATTTCATTAATCAAGTTGATTCCAAAAGTGATCTGGTGAAAGCTACCTTGCATGTTATCTCTCTGAACCCATCCTATTATTTTGACAGGAGACCTTGTGTAGATGTGAACAAGGACCAGTCTGAACATCTTGTGAACAGCCAGGGTCAGGCAGATACAGTTTGTCCTTTATAATTTTTAGCTGGGTTCTTAATGAACAGTAATCACTTTTCTTCTGTTCCTTGTTGGCTATATTGAAATCTGTATATCTGTAAAGTCTGTTTCCGACGTTCCAAAGAATTTCTGCACAGACTGGTACTAAAATTATTTCCAGAACATCACCTCAGTGATACACTTGGTCTAAAGGATTTGTTGTATTTGCTTGGTGAAGTTTGTCTTTAAATAATTAATTAGCCAGATGTATTTTCTGTAGAAATAAGGGATTAAAATGACAGGTTAATAATATATTCATAGTTCAATTGTTTTTAGAATCAGTTTTACATAGAGAGAAAGATAATCCTCTTATGTTAATCAGATTCTGATATTTGTCCTAACATGTTGTTGTAGTTTTGTTGATACTGTTTATATTGATCTTTCATATTTTCCACTGAGGTTTATATCCTTTTTAAAACAATGCTGTTCTGATATGCTTTGGACTTAAAAACCAATTCATCCCAGGTTATACAGAAATATTTTTTTCACATTGTTTAAAAGCAGTTCACAAATGCTGAACACATAAATAGCTATTTAGAATCTGTATTAAAAAAATGACAAAGATCATACAACAATAAAGTGAAGAAAATTGGTCATAAAAAATTAAAAGACTGTATTTGATGGTGGTAGTGCTATGTAATGAATTCTCTAGTATAAGATTAATAACAGAAAAAGGCTTAATTTCTTATAAAATTGAAACTTGAATTAAGGCATATCAGAAGGTCTTTTTCATTATTTTATTATATTAAACGAATTAACAGAAGAAAAAGTATACATTCATATTTGTTATTTCTAGCAATAGAAGATTTCTTTTTTGTTTTGGTTGAATTTATTAATTGATTATGTTTCTGGTGCTCTTTATATTTTATATTTTGATAAATTCTGTGTTTTATTATATTGTTTGAACTGATTTAAGCTGGGAGGTATGCTGCTCAGAATTGTTTACAATTGGAGAGGCCTATAAGCCTAATAAAATACATAAATGAATACAACAGTATTAATATAATGTAATTACAATGAATAAAAGAAAAAAAGAAGGAAAAGGGCCTGGAAAAACTATATTATAAGCAATATAATCCAAAATATTTCATCATATTATTGAAAATAATTCTTCCTTGCCCCAGCCTAATTCAAATTGTGACAAAGAACATGCATCAAGAATCTGTTGCTGAAAATTAGTTATAGCTTTCTCTTTCCAAATTGCATTATTATTTTAGGCTTTGTTTACAGTTCTGGGGACAGTCTTTCCTAAGAAAATACCCTATTTAGTTGACAAGAATATCTCAAGTTGTAGAGAATAAATGTAAAAATCTCAACTTCTCAACTATCTTCTGGGATTGAAAGAGGGGGGCACAGTATTGCCATGGTTCTCCTTTCTTTGAGGTCATTTCCTGTGGGTGGGTGGGAGAAGAGATTGACTCTGAGAACCTTTTTTTCATGGTAAAAATCCACCTGTTTTCAAGATTGACATACATTTTAAAAATGTTGCTTATGTTAATTCCACTTAAATATTTGAAACAATTTGATAAATTAATGGTAAATTTCTTGAGGAATGGTCAGACACCGAGGATCTCTCTTTTAAAGATTCAGCTTTCGTGTGACAGTGCTGGTTTAAATTTTCCAAATTTCAGTTTACTTCAGTTTTTTGGGCCTGATTAGAAAATTATTATCTGGAATCTTTGAAACTCTGGCAAGTACTTGGTTCTAACTATAGTAGAATTCAAATTTGGAAAAACTTCTATTTAAAAATTACAGGTGAAACTTTTGGGGGGCAGTATATGCATAAAAAATGGGATAGTCGCCCTTAATCAGTTAATTGCAAATGACATCTTTAAAACATTTGAAAGATTATAAAGGAATGCAATTTACTTAAAACAGCAGGATGACAATATATATCTTTTTGGGAAAGATTGTAGAGAAGGTGATAGATCTATAACTTCAGAGGGCTTTGGAAGAAGCAGATTATCTGGAGCATTTTCAGTCAGATTTCAGGCCTAGTGCAGTACAGAGACAGCATTAATTGTGCTTGTGGTGATCTCTGGTTGACTAGTATGGGGGTGGTGTGATTCTCCTGGTCCTGCTTGATCACTCAGCAGTTTTTGATATCAATTATGGTATCCTTCTCAACTATCTTCTGGGATTGAAAGATATTGCCGTGGTTCTCCTTTCTTTGAGGTCATTTCCTTTGGGTGGGTGGGAGAAGAGATTGACTCTGAGAGCCTTTTTTTTTCATGGTTTCTTCAGGGCTCAACACTCTCCCTATTCCTATTTAATATCTATATGAGGCTTCTGGTTAAGATCATCCACTGGCATGGGGTCAGGCATTATCAATATGCAGACACCCTATTGTATATCTTGACCACTATCCAACCAAGTGATGCTATTGAGGCTCTGTTTTGTCGTCTGGAGGCTGTTAATATTTGGACAGATTCAACCATAGCAAGATTGAGTGGTTGTAGATTCATGGGACCTTGGTTTCCAGGGACCTTCCAACTTTAGTTCTTGATTGGGTTGCATTTTCAGAGATGGAACTGATACCTGTACTTATGGCTTTTGCTTAAAGAGTAGGTGGCAGACTCCAGGAGGACCCTTGCACAGATTCATTTTATTTACCAATTATACTTTTTCCTAGATTGGGAAGTCTTGTGCAGTTACTCATGCCTTAGTTATCTCGCAATTGGATTGTTGCTATGTGTTGTACATGTGGCTGCCCTTGCAAACAATTTGGAAGCTACATTTGGTTCAGAATGTGGCTGTGTAGTGATTATAGACACACTTCAATCTTCCTGATAATATGTCTGCTCTGTGAGCTGCCTGTTGGCTTCCAGAGGAATTCAAGGTTCTGATTATCATCTATATAGCTTTCCAAAGCTCAGGGTTTGTTGGACCACCTCTCTCCAGTTTTGTCTGCTGTCCTGATAGATCTAGTAGAGTAGGTGTGCTCCAGGTCCCATCTTTAAATTTATGTAATTGGGAAGAACACTTTTTCTATGGCTGCCCTTGCTCTCTGAAGTTTCCCTTCTGAAGTCTGCATGGCTTTGACACTGTTTTAATTTAAGAAAGCCCTTAAAACGTGGCTCTGGGGCAGGGCGATTTCTGACCTCATAGTAGTTTCATTCTTGGGTTCTTAGTATTGCCTTCCCTGATATAGTTCATTCTTTATATATACTGTTTTTTACATGTTTTATGGTTTTAATAAATTAATTGAATAAATATCCAAATAAAGTATTTATTATGTTATTGGTTTTGTCTGAATGCTTTAGAAGGCTCTGAAACAGGCTAAACCAATAATAAAATACTATCAACAATTTTATAATTATGCAAAAAATAGATTTGGATAATTTATTTATGTATTATTATTTATTAAAGCAATTTATATGGCCGCCCAACTCATGGTGACTCCGGTGATAATAAACAAGAAATGTGGAATGGAGAATTAGAGTGTTTTATATAACAAAATCAATTGTCTCAAATGTTAGGGAACACCAAATATGATGGTTTGATTTGAAAACTGAATGAATTCAACCACAGAAAGATCTCTGTGGGGTTTAATGGATTCCTCAGTGGTTATTTAAAAAACATTGGTTATTGTCCTTCCTATCTTGGAATAGTAAGTGGATTGAAGACACCTTGGTGCACATGATTTGCTCATGTCCACTGGTACAGGTAGTCCTCGTTTAACGACTGCCTTGTACAGTAACCATTCGCAGTTATGATAGTCATGAAAAAGTAACTTTGCGACCAATCCTTACATTTATGACTTTCGCAGGTTGTGTTTGTGGTTAGGTTGTATTGTTTAGGTTTTTTAAATATATAGTTTTAATCAAATTGTTTGTATGGCCTTTTACAACTTTTATTCTGTTTTCCCCTTGTTGTTTTACTTTTGTTTGTATTCTTTGAGAAAATCAATAACATTTATTTTTTTAAAAAGTTTTTCAAAAATAAAAGCTTTTTATATTTTACATTATATTTACAACCTAATATTTTCCAT